TGCTTTAACTTCTGCTGATTTACTAATCTGTGGGATAGTAATTCTCTGGTGTCTTGCATAATCTTGGCATTTCCCCTGATAAAACCTGTGATACTTGTTCTTCTGCTACTAAAAACACACCCAATGTGCTGTGACCTATGGCTGTGAAAACTGCAGCAGGGGGAGTCCAAGAAGGGAAAAACTCAACCAAATTCCCACTGAAGTTCTTGTCAACCTTGAGGTCTCATGCAGGCCAAAATCAGATCTCACGGACCATAGCTATTTCTGGGATACAACCTATGGTTATAGCTGTTCTAAAAGAGCTACTATATTGAATGAATAATGCAGCATGCAAACTGCTTTTCCACGTCGCCTCTGTAAGGCCAGAAAGGAAGGAGCATCATAGCATACATATCATATGCATCTCAATGTTCTTTGGACCAAGAGGCAGAGCACCCACTACAATTTCTTTGAGTCAGCAGGCTTTGTAGTCACGGAGGTAGAGTAAAAGGAGGGATTGAAGCAGATCACAAAGCACACCATGACTCCTGCTCTTCATGAAGCTTTTGGAGTGTTCTCAAGGAAGATGAGGATTAAATGGGCAAAGGCCTTTAAGTATTCTCTCATGTAAAGGAATGGAATTAGGTCCACAAAAGTAATTTGCTCGGAATATTAACCTGGGAAAAGGGAGATACGTTTGAACTCTCTTGTGGCAGAAAAGAAACTGAACCTGGATCATTTACATCCTGATTACCCTAACCATGAGTAATTTTAAACAAAAAGAGAGAACTGGGATTTCTTCTCCAGCTGCGCTGTCACAAGCCTTGATCTTATAATTGTGCTCTTAGGATATCTACAGGATGAGACAAGTAGGAATTGGATTTAGGAATAAGAAAGCTAGATGAACAACTTAAATTTCAAATATGTTGCATTTATAAATATCTAACATATAATATTTGCATTATAAATTAGCATATGTTTATATTAAATAAGAATGGCATTTGTGATGTAGAAATCTATAAAAATAAACTAAAATAAAGTAAAAGTATATTGTGTGATCTAAGTGCCCAATGCTGTGTCTGGTCAGACTCTGGGTAAACTGACTCACCTGCAGGTCCATCCTGCCCACTCATACCCATGCCATTAGTAGTCATAGAATCATAGAATCATTAAGGTTGAAAAAGACTTCCAAGATCATTGAGTCCAACAGTCCACCTACCATCAGTACTGCCCAGTAAACTGTGTTCCTTACATCTGCATGTTTCTTGAACACCTCCAGGAGCTCAGTCACCTCCCTGGGCAGACTGTTCTAATGCACAACCACTCATTCAGAGAAGAAGCTTTTCCTAATATCCAACCTGTACCACCTCTGGCACAACTTGAGGCCATTCCCTCTCGTCCTATTGCTAGCTGCACAGGAGAAGAGACCAACCCCTACCACACCACAACCTCCTTTCAGGTAGCTGTATAGAGCAATAAGGTCTCCCCTCAGTCTCCTCTTCTCCAGACTGAACAATCCCAGATTCTTCAGCCATTCCTTACAAGACTTGTGCTCCTTTTCAGCTTCATTGCCCTTCTCTGAACATGCTCCAGGGCCTCATTTCTTTCTTGTACTGAGGGGCCCAAAACTGAACACAGTACTGAAGATGTGGCCTCACCAGAGCTCACTACAGGAGGATGATCACCTCCCTGTTCCTGCTGGCAACACTACTTCTGATGCAAGCCAGGATACTACTGGCCTTATTGGCCACCTGGGCACACTGCTAGCTCATGTTCAGCCAAGTGTCAACCAACACTCCCAGGTCCTTTTTCTCTGCATAGTCTTCCAGCCACTCCGGCCCAAGCCTGTAGAGTTTCCTGGGGTTGTGGTGACCAAAGTCAGGACCCAGCATTTAGTCTTGTTAACTCCATCTCATTCGCCTCAGCCCAACTATACAGCCTGTCCAGATCCCTCTGTAGGGCCTTCCTACCCTCAAGCTGATTGACACTTCCTCCCAACTTGGTGTCATCTGCAAACTTATTGAGAGTGCGCTCAATGCTCTCATCCAGACCATCAATAAGGATATTAAACAGGATGCACTACAATACCTGGGGTACACCATTTGTGACCGAGGGCCAGCTGGATTTAGCTCCATTCACCACCACTCTCTGGGCCTGGGCCTCCAGCCAGTTATTTACCCAGCCAAGAATGTACCTGTCCAAGCCACAGGCTGCCACCTTCTCCTGGAGAATACTGTGGGAGACAGTGTCAAAGGCTTTGCTCAACAGCCTCATCCACCAGGCAAATCACCTGGTCATAGAAGAAGATGAGGTTGGTCAATTAGAATCTGCCCTTCATTAACCCATGCTAGCTGGCCCTGATAGCCTGGATGTCCCACACATGCTGTGTAATCTCACTCAAGATGAGCTGTTCTATAATTTTCCATGGCACCAAGGTCAGCCTGACATGTATGTCATTCCCTACATCCTTATTCCCAACCCTTCTTGTAGATGGGAGTCATGCTGGCACGCCTCCAATCCCCTGACTTCTCTGGTTGACCAGATATGTAGACAGATGGTAGAAAGTGGCCTGGCAGTCACCTCCACCAGCTCTCTTCAGGTGGGTATCATCTGGCCCAATGGACATGTGACAGTCTAGATGGAGTAGAATGTCTCTAATTGTCTAATTCTAGGCCACCCATCCCAGACTTACCAGACTTCCAGGTCAGGGGGTAGAGTACCTCAAAGATAACTGGTTTGACTATTAAGACACGTGTCAAGACGGCATTAAGAACTTCATCCTTTTCCTTATCCTCAGTGGTCATGTTCCTTCTTGCATCCAGTAAAGGATGGAGGTTGTCCTTAACCTTCCTCTTACTGTTCATGTATTTGTAAAAACAAATTTTGTTGTCTTTTATTACAGTGGCCAGTTTGAATTCAAGCTTGGCCTTTGCCTTTCTAATTTTCTCTCTGCATATCCTAGCAAATTCTTTGTACTGTCCCCAGGAGGTAGATTCTCTTTTTCTCCTGGTGCCCTAGCAAAACTTCCCTGTTCATCACCATCAATATTCTTCCCTGCTGGCTCATCTTACAGCACAAGGGAACAACCCACTCTTGCACCTATAAGACTTCCTCCATAAAGAACAATCAGCTTTCCTGGACCCCTTCACCCTTTGGGACTGAATCTCAAAGGACCCTCCCTACCAGTGTCCCAAACAGTTCAAAATTCACTCTCTGGAAGTCCAAGGTAGCAGTTTTGCTGACCCCTCTCCTTACTTCACCAAAAATACATAACTCTACCATTTTGTAGTCACTCTTCCCAAGGCAGCTCCCAACCTCCACATCTCCCCCAGTCTTTCTCTGGTTGTGAACAGCAGGTCTAGTGGGGCACCTCTCCTGGTAGGCTCTCTCATCAACTGTATCAGGAAGCTAACTTCCACACACTCTAGAAACCTCTCAGATTGCTTCTTCTGTACTGTATTATATTTCCAGAATATATCAGGGAAGTCAGAGTCCCCTGTGAGAACAAGGGATGGTGATCAGGGTGACCTCATTGCAGCCTTTCAGTACCTAAAGGGAGCCTACAAACAGGAGGGGAATCAACTCTTTGAAAGGGTTGATAACTGCAGGACAAGGGGAAATGGTTTTAAGTTGAGGGAGGGAAGATTTAGGTTGGATGTCAGGGGGAAGTTCTTTACAGAGAGAGTGGTGAGGTGCTGGAACAGGCTGCCCAGAGAGGCTGTGGATGCCCCATCCCTGGAGGTGTTCAAGGCCAGGTTGGATGGGGCCCTGGGCAGCCTGGTCTAGTATGAAATGGGGAGGTTGGTGGCCCTGCATGTGGTGGGGGGTTGGAGATTCATGATCCTTGGGGGCCCTTCCAACCCTGGCCATCCTGTGATTCTGTGATTCTGTGATCACGCAACTTCTGCCAGCTGCTGCCTTAGCTGCCTCAGGACCGTGGTAATGTATCAAGTTGTGAGCTACACAGGAGTCCTCAAATTCTGTAAGAACCAGGAATACAAAGATACTCTGAGAACGAAGTGTAAAGCAGCAGTAATGCTGCGTTATTTATAAATACAGTCCTCCATTAGATGTTTAGAGTTTCTAAGGCACAATCAACCCAAACTGGTGGAAAACTGCAGGAGGTTGGGAAAGGTCAAACAGGAATCTGAGTAACGCTCGCTCTGCATTCAGAGGAGGTTTAGGTTAGACATGAGGAAGAACTTTTTCTCTCAGAGAGTTGTCAGGCACTGGAATGGCTGTCCAGGGAGGTGGTGGAGCTGCCATCCCTGGCAGTGTTCAAGAGGCATCTGGATGAGGAGCTACGAGATGTGGTTTAGTGCTTGTGGTAGCAGTGGTAGTGGGAGGATGGTTGGACTAGATGCTCTTGTAGGTTGTTTCCAACCTTGGGATTCTATGATTCTCAATATATATGTATTTTGTGGGACGGACAGGTTGGGGGTTAGGAAAAGGCTCCACACGAGTGGACATGGAAGGGGCCACCAGAGCAGTGGGCACGGCCCCGAGCTACCGGAGTGCGAGCAGCGTTTGGACACCGCTCTCAGCCGTAGGGCTTGGGTGGTGCTGTGTGGAGCAGGGAGACGGACTACACGACACAGATAATCCGCGTGGGTCCCTTCCGACAAGGTGGACACTACGGTTCTGTGACTCTGCACATTCATGCCGCCGCTTCTATAGAGAATTAAAAACCTGCACACGCCCACAGGGCCGCGCGCACCCGCAATGAAGCACAGCGCGCAGCGGGGCCGGCCCGTGCCGCCATGGCAACCGGAGCGGGCGGGGCGCAACCCGGAAGCGAACGTGCAGAGCGGCCCCGCGGCTCGCTCACGCCCCGCCCCCTCCCTCTCGGCCCCCGTCGGGCTGGCCGCGCGGGGTGACGTGTCCGAGCGCCAGAAGCCGGAAGCGGCGGCCGCTCGAGGCGGGGGGCGACGCAGCAACGACCGTTGGTGCCGCGGGCGCGCGCGAGAGGCGCCGAGGGAGCCGCCTCCCCGCCCCTCCTCCTCCACCGCCGCCCGCCAGCGATGGCCCTGCGGCCGCTCCTCGTGGTCGCCGCTCTGGCGGTCACCGCGCCGCCTCACCCCGCCGCCGGCTTCTACCTGCCGGGCCTGGCGCCCGTCAACTTCTGCGAGCCCTCCAAGGAGAAGCCCGAGTGCAAGGTGAGCCCGCCGGGGCGGCCTGGGGCCGGGCGGCCGCGTTGAGGCGGGGAGGCCTCGGCGCCTCCCGCGCCCCTGGGTCCCGCCTCACTGCGCGGCCCGAGCCTGCCGGGCGTCCCGCTGCTCTTTTTCTCTTCTCTTGCTACCTGGCTGCCGCCCTGAGGAGTTTGAGCTCGCTGCGGCTCGAAGCGTGACGGCTGACGGTAACGCGTTAGTAGATGGTGCGACTGCCGGCTCCTCTCCCGAGTTGCTGTCATCTTACAGACGGGAGCGGCCCGCCCATCTCCTGGCCCTTGTACGTGCTGCACCGAGCGAGCCTTTCCAGCTGGTCGTTTGTCAGGGGTTAGCAGCTGCTGGTTGCAGGTCGCAGGCAGGTGACCGGCCAGGGTGAGTGTGCGGTGACAGCTGTGTCTTCCGGGCTGTCACGAGTCCACAGCACAGAGCTTCCCTGTCCCAAGCACCCTGATCCTAAACTCTCAGTGATGCTTTAAGTTACTTTCAGTACCTACAAACAGGAGGGCAATCAACTCTTTGAAAGGGTAGATAGCAGCGGGACAAGGGCAAATGGTTTGAAGTTGAGGGAGGGAAGATTTAGGTTGGATGTCAGGGGGAAGTTCTTTACATACTGGCTTACTGGTGAGAAAACTGGTGAAGTTTTCTCACATAACCGAGTGGCATATTTGTGAGGATGCTTGTTGATAGGGGTGTGTTCTTAAGGCAGTTTTTGCTCCTTTGGGTGAGCTTTAGAAGCTGTTTGCTGCTGTTGTGACAGAAATGGTAGCAGCTGTACTTTTCTCATCTTTCTCAAGTGTGTTGTTTAATTCTGACTGGTCAGATCTTCTTCTAAACAGGTAACCATGGATTCCTTCAGTCTTCTTTCCACACTGCTTCTGTCATAGCACCAGAATGCTCTGTGGATGTTGTTTTATGGGATCATAGAAGTAGTGTTTGAAAGCAACCTCAGGAGATCACAAATTTATTTAAGAAGCAAGACTGCTGCCAGCACAAGACCTGATCAGCTCTGCCCTTGTTTAAGCAAACCTTGAAAACTTCCAGGGACAGCACATCTACCACCTGCTACAGTGCTATGCTGCCCTCCTGAAGAAATACTTTTCTTCACCTACAGGCTAAAGTTTTCAAGCTGCACTCTGTAGTTCTTCAGAGCATCCCTGAAAAACACTGCTGTTTTTAAATTATTCCTAGTTTATGCTAGGGTCATGTTAGAAGATTTTTAAGCAAAGCAGGTTGCCTGCTGTCCTTTCGTTATACCTGAGATGCTTATGGAGTGATCCTGCTCAGGCATCATTGCTTTATTTCTTTTTCCCCCCCTCATGCAGTGTCCACAAAATGTTTGAATCCTTATCCTGAAAATGCATAACTTTATAAATGTGTAATTAGACAGTTAATATAAATCTGTCACTAGTGGCTAGCTGAACATTTTAGGATAACCTCATCAGCTGTATTATTCTGAAAATCTGTTTCTGAGTTAAGCCATTTCTTGTTATTCCTCTACCTTGTGCTAGCCAGGTTATGTACAAAGTGAGATAGAGGCATGTAGTAGGTCTGAATGGTTCTTTCAGTTGAATTGTCCCCATTTAGTGTAGTGTGTAGTGAGGAGGAGACAGTGCATAATCAGATAATTGCCACAGCATAATATTTGTGTAAGTGGGTACAATTAAGCTCCCTTGTACAACGTTAATTTTTCATGTGTTCTAGCTGAGTTCTGACAGTTGCCACTGTTGATTTAGTAATACTGAGTTCTCCCCCATGTGAGATTTTTAGATTTTGTTTAAATCCCCACAGCTGAGTTTTTGATTGCTTCAGAAATGAAGTTGTGGACCAGTACACAGGTACTGATCTGATCTGTGCTTTTCACCGTATCCTTGTGAGACTTCTTGTGCAGAAGTTCTGATGATGGCTAAGATCACTCCAGCTGCTGCATTAAACTAAAACTGGCAACTGTTTTATAACAGTTTTATAACTGTGTTATTCTTGTATCTGATTTCTTGCTATCTTGTAGTCTGCATGCTTATGTTAGCCTTCTAGTGGTTTTGTCATGTGGGCTCTGTTCTCCCCATGCTCAGATAGCATTTAATTCATGGTCCTGGCAGATATCATTCGTTATGTGAGAATGTGCATTTCAAGATATAGAGTTGCATAATTCTTATCTGCCCAGTGTGAGACTTTCACTTACTTTATTGACACAAGAGCCTACGTGTGTGTGTGTGTGTGTGTGTGTGTGTGTATACAAAATATATATGAGCACAGATGAAATACAATCAGTGACTCTCTTGATTCTTTCAGTCTGGAATCGAGCTGTTTGTGAACAGGCTTGACTCTGTAGAGTCTGTCCTTCCCTACGAATATACTGCGTAAGTATCTTGCATGTCTGTGTCGTTCTGCTTTTCACTTCTTTCGACAAGATGAATTGCATTTAAGTGTTATTAGTGCCTTGATTTAGCTGTTTCCAAACAAGGAATGTCCACTTATTTTTCCATTTTAGGTTTTATTTTTTCCATTTTCGTTTTTTTGTTTCCATTTTTTAATTAAACAATATGCGAATCTCGAATGAATTTCCAAGAAATGGGTTTTTCGTTCCCTATTTCTTGGTTTTCTTTGCAGATTCTCTCATGTCCCTCCCTGTCTATATATTGTAATTTTATAGGGCAAAGTATTACTGCTGTCTTTAGTAGCCTATAGCCAGATGAGTTAAAGTGGTAACGAGGTGTGAACTTTCCATCAATTATCTTAATGAGGTGTTAAATGCTTTCTCGGTTTTCATCGTGGGAATACACAAAATATGTCTGTGATCTGTGCAAGTATGTAAAGTTGTTGCTTGGAAAAATACTTTGCTATTTCATATCGAAGAGATCAAGCACTAGTTGTATCCACTTCTTAATGCATATAAGCACGGGACACTTGAAGTTAGGAGGTATCCGGAAGGTGTGCTATTAAAAGATTCAGTGACTGAAAGTATTGTAACTTTTTTATTCAGTGGCATTTGATGTGAAACAGCTCTTTGATGCTTTTGTTTTATTATTTTCTCCAAGAATTCGATTTGCATGCTTTTTTTTTCTTTTTTTTTTTTTTTTTTTTTTTTTTTGTGGACTGTCATGACATGATGTGAAGCCTTAATTCCTGCTTAAAATTCCTGCACAAATAGGAAATCTGCAACTACTAAAGGAAACGTTTATTCTCCTCTAGTTAATATAAACTGAGTTCTGAATAGCCAATCGAGAGGCTTGACTTCAGGGCTTTTCTTGTTCCTTCTGATACCAGAAGAATTGAGAAACTGTCTAAGAGTCAAGGTGGAGAGTTAGAAAGTAGGTGTCCCTTAACAATAGCGCTGGGTGTGGGGGGGATGCTCTCCTCCAGTCCCGCATGTCTTGCATGAAAAAGGTCCTCAGCTTCTGTGCATTCAGAGGCCTTTCCTGAAGGCCTCCCCTACATATTCCATAAGATACAAAGTCTCAGGTGCCTCCTTTATCTATTCAGTACAAAGAAGCAGACCCTTCCCACTGTCTGAACAAAGGTTATCTGTTAAGGGATTAATCAAGCTGCAACTTGTATCACTTCCCCCAAACCGGGCTGTGATTTTCATACTTGACAGATTCAAGTAAGAAACTATATATATATATATATATATATATATATATATATATATATATATATACTATACTAACTATATATATATAGTTCCTTTACTTGTGATGATGGTTTTGATTTGAGGTACTCTGTTGGGTCTGACGTGCGCATCTACTAAACTTTGTTAATTTTGCTATCTTTTCTATAACTCAGGTTTGATTTCTGTCAAGCGGAAGGGAAGAAACGTCCATCTGAAAACCTTGGCCAAGTGTTGTTTGGAGAGAGGATAGAACCGTCTCCTTACAGGGTTTGTTCTGTGAAAAGGGCTTTTATTAATACTTATAATCCAGTGTAACCAAAAGAGGTCAGAATCCTGAGGATCCTTTCATTAGGGCGTTTTAGGATTTCATTATCTGAAATTCCACGTAATAGAAATCTGTCAATTTAACCTAAGTTTGCATAGGATCATAGAATTGCTCAGGTTAGAAGAGACCTTAAATATCATTAAGTCCAACCACAACCTAACCATACTATCCTAACTCTTAACAACCCACTGCTAAATCATGTCCCTGAGCAGCACATCCAAACGGTTTTTTAACGCATCCGGCCTGTGCCAGTGCTTAACAACTCTTTCTGTAAAGAAATGTTTCCTGATATCCAACCTAACCTTACCCTGGCACAACTTGAGGCCATTTTCCCTTGTCCTGTCATCTGTCACCAGTGAGAAGAGACCAACCCCGCTTGTAAACCTTGTGGCCTGAAATGCTGCGGAGTTTTTCTTCTGTCTTTGGAACCTTGTTTCTCAGCTGAAATTCCTCTCTTGTTAGAGGAAATTGAGTACTCTTACTCTTGAAAACCGGGTCCAAAAATTGGGATCTTACAATGTGCTCTAAGATCACGAAGGGATTTTATAGTACGTGCCAATATGAAAAGCTCCTCTGTAATGTCAATGTATATAGTTTTGAAAATTCTTTTTATTAGCATACACAGTAATAAGTGTATGGGGGAAAACTTGTTAAACTCTGGAATTGCAGCAACATGCTTTTACTAATTTTTTTCACATGTATTTTGTTTTTGTAGTTCACATTCAACAAGAAGGAGACATGTAAAGCTGTTTGTACAAAAACGTATGATACCAAGAAGGCAGAGGATAAGCAGAAATTAGATTTTTTGAAAAAAAGTATGCTACTGAATTATCAGCATCATTGGTAAGTTGACATCATTCATGGATTGGTTAGTCTAATATATTGCTGATAATTAATCATAGAATCATAGAATTCTGGCCTGGGTTGATAAGGACCACAATGATCATCCAGTTTCAACCCCCCCTGCTGTGTGCAGGGTCACCAACCACCAGACCAGGCTGCCCAGAGCCACATCCAGCCTGGCCTCGAATGCCTTCAGGGATGGGGCATCCACAGCCTCCTTGGGCAGCCTGTTCCAGTGCATCACCACCCTCTGTGTGAAAAGCTTCCTCCTAATATCTAACTTAAACCTAAATTAATGTAGTTGGTCATTTTGTATTTGCATGTTAATACAGATTCAACATGAGGCTTTTGCACTAAATCCATTACTGTCCTGTTTTTGCAAAAGTTATTTTTGTATGTTGCCTTAATGTCTTCATTTATTTATTTTTACTTAAGAGCACTCACCAGGAATGAGTGCTTACTCCATGGAAACAAGTATGTTTCCAAACATAGCATGTGATTATTTTTTTTTTTCTGCTGTCTGCTCACTGTAAAGTACTGCTATTTCTTTGCACCTGTAAGCATAGAAATTGGTTGGAGGTAAGAATTGAAACTTTCAGTCTACTTTTAGGTCATCTTTACTCTCTTCAAAAGCCTTTGCACTCTTTGTAATGTTGTACCCAAGAGATGGGATCAGTAGTTCTGAGTGTGCAAAGTTTCTTTTTTGTATAGGATATGGAAATGAAAGGTGGCCAGTGAAAATGAGCTCATTAACTTGAGGAACACCTACACAGTGAATCTTTTTCTGTTCTCTGAGACCCTCTGTAACAGATACAAAAAATAAAACTGAAAAAAAAAAATAATAATCTAAATTATCTTGGAATGTGCTGGGGCTCTGTTCCAGCTTGGATGTTGAGGTTCTCTTCTGATGGCCCATAAGGGTGAGGCCATATGGGATGTAGATGCTGAAGTCATGCTGTTTTTTTTACTTAGGACTTAGGACGTGCTCTGCACCAAAATCCAGGAGCTGGGAAATGTTTATCTGCAGGGTCTGTGTAGATGTTGTAGGTGGCATACATGGATATTTGTCTGTAGTGCTTTTATGTTGGTGTTCTGTGCTAACAGCAGCCTTTAGGTGCAAGCGTAGAAGGAACAACATTGGCATTAAGTTGTCTGAGCTTTCACTTTGGCATGTCTTTGGAATAAGCATAATTAATATTGCCCAGATGATTCCAATTACATACTGCCTGCTTCACTGAAACAAAAACTGGTTTTCATCTAATTAAATTAAACGATTCTGAACATATTAGTAAAAAAAGGAGGTGAAATGTTGAATGTTGCCATTGTCATTTAGGTGTTTTTCCTCTAATACCACATTTTGTTTGTTCAGTTTCAATGCAGCCATCCACAGTGAATAGGCAGTGAGTGCTTTTTTTGCTGTTCTTGGAAGCTGATGCTGTCCTGTCTAGGGGTAGACTGTCTCACTGAGCTGCATCTTCTTGGAAATCTCTGGAAAATCAGTGAGGTTGCAAGCTGATAAACTAGATGAGAGGTTCACAGGCAGCAGCTGCACGTTTATATAAGTGAATAGGGGAGTAAATAAAGGAGCTCTGAAAAATGCAGCTGTTTTTGCAGGGATTTGTAGTGTATCTGTTTAATGCTGCAATAAGTAGGTCTTCAAAGATACTTCATTTAGTTATATTTCTTTTAAATCTTGCATGTGTTTATAAAATTTGCATTGCTTTGAATTTCACTGGTGTGTGTTGGTGTGGCATAATGCTTAACCTTTAAAGTCTGTCAGTGTTTTGGTGCGTGCATGAAAAATGAAATGAAAAATTTCCCAAAGCTGTGATGCTATCACAAAACAAACACTTTTCTCTGCTTACATCAGTTCACAAATGTACTTAGCATATTTAAGAATGTTTTTTAGTCTGTACCCCAAACTTGATAGAGATGTTGCAATTCAATTGTTCAATTTTCAGTGGGAAAACTTTCCTTTGGAGTGCTCTGTATTCTTATATTTCTAACTACTTTAATAGCAAAAAATGAAACAATTGGAGCATTAGTTCTACTGCTGTAAAGCTTTGCCACCAGTGGCATGAAGTATCCATGTTTATGTCTGCTACAGTAACAGCAGTCCCTCATCAACCACAGATCCACAGAGTGGAAGTGGCTGCATTTTGTGATTCAGAAGTGTAATATAGGATTCAGATACGTGGCAATCAGCAAGGTGTAGCATAAGGGAGGGTTTGATAGAGGTTTATTATCAGGCTTCAATGTGTCATAACATTTCAGGGGAACACAGATGGTGCAAAGTACTTTTAAGGCTTTCAAGGCTACTTAATAAGATTAGTAATTGACACACTGAATTGGACTCAACAGCAACGCTGATATCCTGTCTCACCATGTTCATCACCAGATGTTCTTGGAAGACATGTAAGAATATTTGTATAGCTTATTTGCTCCTCGTGTATAATCTCTTCAAGTCATTTCAAATGTGAAGATTAACACTGAAAAATGATTTGCTTCTTAAGTTATCAATTTGTTCCAGCATCGCAGCTTGAAGGCAGCTTTGTATGCCTCTGCTGCAGAAGATGCAGGGGAAAACCTTTATCCCAACCAAAGTAATTTGCAGTAGGTTGATCTGTTACCTGTTTTTGTGCTTTACGAAATGGAGGTGCTAACAAAACCAACCTCTTGCACATGTTATGGAGCTAGAATTTCAAATGAGAACCAACTGTAATGACTTGCACCTGGAATAGCTGCAAATCTGCAGCTTAATTGTGCCCTGTACAGCATGGCTAGGCAAGTCAGATTTGGTTGTTGCTACTGCCGTTCATAGCTCTGCTGGAGACTGAGAGCTTACAAGTTGTGGTTTGCAAAGGGGCTTTTTTAAAACTTTCTTCCATTGTGTCAATATGAGTCAATATTGCTAACCCAGCTCTGTATGGTAGCTAATGGTGGGGATGATGCAGACCTCGTTATTGTTTTATCAGCAAAGGCACCACGTGTCACTTAGCAGTTCTTTATTGTTGACTGAAGTCCTAGTTGTGTGTGAAGTACCTAATGAGACCTTAGCAGGTATCTGTTAACCTTAACAGCTTAGTGACTGTAATCCTGGAGTGCTTAATTGTAACGAATATTCAGCAGCTTGATAAGTGCTACAAAAGCCTGTCTTGTTGAGTTGGTGAGATGTCTTCTTTTGGTTTGGCAGTGCTCAAGAGCTGGCTGTTGTCTCGTGTCTTCACGTGTGTCATTTACTAATTGAACTGTACAAATGTATCTGGGAGCAATTAACGATGCTTTAAGGGTGGCTGCTCAATTTTAAATCTTCTTTGAATAAATTGCTTTTGGGATTTATCTTCCAGATAGTTAAAACACTTTGTGACATGAAAATGTACATTCTTAATGCTTTTCTTGCACAAAAAGAAAATTGAGCATGATGAGTATCTCTCAATTTAAAAGTATGTCTTTAGTGGATTTTGTTTGTTTTTTTGATAGATAGATACAGACAGATATAGATGCACTATTTGCAGCATGTTGGATAGTATCTTTATCATGTTACTTTGTGTAAAGCTTTTGCTGTAGTCCCATGCAACTTTCTTGTCTCTAAATGGGAGAGAGAAGGTTTGTGGGATTTCAGTGATAAGGAGCTGGCTGGATGGCCCCATCCAAAGGCTGGCAGTTGATGGCTCAATGTCCAGGCAGACATTAGTGACATGCAGTGCCCTTCAAGGGTCCCTGCTGGGCCTGTTTAATATTTTTATTGGTTATATGGATAGTGGGATTGAGTTTACCCTCAGAGACTTTGCAGGTGATACCAAGCTGTGTGGTGCAGTCAGTGTTTTGGACTGAAAGGATGACATCCAGGAGGAGCTTGGCAGGCTTGAAAGGTGGGCCTGTATAAAAACCTCACGCAGCTGAACAAGGCCAAGTGCAAGGTCTCACACCTGAGGTGGGGCCATCCTAAAAATGGGCAAGGGCTGGTTGGTGAGTGGATACAGAGCAGCATGGAAAGAACTTGGAGATGCTTCAAGCAGTGTCGAGAAACATTATTAGTATTATTAGGAGCAGTATTTCTGAAGAGCAGTTAGAAAGTTGGAGGATTAATAATGTTTATGTAGTGTGTGAGCAGTTTTTTATTTTGTGTTTTTGTCTCGGAGAAACTGGAAATGATGTAGTTCATTTCAGCTGCTTTCCTGGATGACTTGGGCTGTTTTTAAAGAAAAAATAATGAAACAGTTCATTCCTGTGCCTTCAGAGTGAAAGAGCTTTGTGATTTGATCTGTGTTTGTAGGGGCACTTTAGAAACTGGCTCAGTAAATAGAATGCTTTGGTGGTCACCGAGTGGGCCGTGTATTTCCAACACCTACTTATGGATTTGTCTATTTTTATTTGCATGATGCTGTATATTTTGAAAGGTGATGAAGTGTCAGTATATAATTCACAGGATTGTGGACAACATGCCTGTGACCTGGTGCTACGATGTTGAAGATGGCCAGAGGTTCTGCAATCCAGGCTTTCCCATTGGCTGCTACATTACAGAAGATGGCCGTCCAAAAGATGCCTGTGTTATTAATGTACGTTTGAGTTGGATTTTTTTTTATAATATCCTCTTTTTACTTTTCTAAAGGCTTATAATGTCTGTGTCCTGTTTCTATGGTGAGTCCTCACTATCTTTGTTCCCCTAAAACTGAATGTTTTGATACATGTGCAGGTACTACAATCTCTAATCTCACCTCAGCTTGTCTAAGAACTGCCTCCTCTGTGATGTATGTAGTAATACAGAAAGGCTCAAAAAGAGAAGAATGTGGATAGTGTGTAGAATACATGGAATGCAGGAGAAAAACATTGTCCTTCATTTTCTGTGATGTCTATACTTTGAAGAACTTGGATTTTACTTTGCTGTGAGATAGAAGTGTTTCACGGAAACAGGTTTTTGCAGGCATATTTTTTTCTTTGCATGGGAACTACTAGCTCTTGAAGGAGTGCTTCTCTTAAAATGATGTGGACTGGTGGAAAAAGGCAATATATAAGAATACTGAGTGAAGCTTCTCTTCCATGTCAGATGGGTCCTTTTGGGTTAACTAGTAGAATTCCAGATAAATGCACTGTTAGTGTTATGCAGATAAGAATGCATTAAGAAATGTAGAATGTCTTCAGGTTATCCCAGACCTTTTCCACAGAGAGGTGATGACTAAGAAGCAGGTCTTTTGTTTTACTTACCAGCTTCTAATGTTGTTTCTTTTCCTGCATAGTGAATTGATTTCAGAGACTCCATATAACTGGATGGTTGAAGTAGATTTGTGATCAAATATGTAATCTGGCAACATTTCTTAATCTTGTTTAAATATTTGTTTTTAATATAAGGGTAATAACTTTTGAAGGAGTAATTGAAAGACTGTAGAAGAACACCTTAGAAAAATAAAACCCAGGCTTCTCATTAGGGCCCTCTGTAGAAAGGGCTGGGGACAGAACACCCTGAAGAAGGACTAACAAAGCTGCAGTAGGCATAAAGCTTTTAACAACTTGTTTAATGGACTGATCTTCAAACTGAAACATCCCTTCACCTGAGATGTCTGTTCAACATATTGAATGTTGTTTACAGTGAATCTTTGGTTTCAAACATGGAAGTGCTTCTGTCAGAGACAGCAATGATTTGCGTTGGCTTAAAAGGTTTGGTTTAATCTATGAAAAACATACACTGTGTTTTAAAAGAGCTAATTGTTTATTAAACGCATCTGGTTATGAAAGTTGTCACATAGCTGTCAATTCAGTTTGCTGCTTAAGTTGAGTAACATGGAAACGTTGTCAGTTCCTCTATCATCTCAGGTGAAGTTCTGCTCTCAACCTGTAGTTCTGAGCTTTTTTTCTAATGCAATAAAGCAGTTCACTGTCTTTGTATTCCCAGAATTGTGCGTGCATCTTTGGGAGAACTTTTTGACAGGAAAACTATGCAGTATAAAATTAAATTTTGTAAGGCTTTCAGGTGTCTTTATCTTCTTGATTTTTTTAACTTTTTTTTTTTTAATCATTTTAGTCAGAATTTCATGAAAAAGATACTTTTTATATCTTCAATCACGTTGACATAAAGATATATTACCATGTTGTGGAGAATGAAGCTCTGGGAGCAAGACTTGTTGCTGCTAAACTTGAACCAAAAAGGTCAGTATTCAGAAATAAGTTGTTGTTGAGCAGTGATCCATCCCAGCACTCTTGCTTTGGTTTGGAGAAATGTTTTCAGATATATGATGTGTACATTAGCTTTCCTCTTGATTGATGGAGGATTGATGCAATCTTACTCTGTAAGTTCTGTAGATCTTTGTGCACTATTTCCTACGTGTGCCAAAAAAGATAAAATGAAATTTGAAAGTAATATGTGTTAAGGGAAGCAACCCCAGTAGAGAATGTTCCGTATCATCATCAGTGCCAAAGGCAGGAGTAATTAGAGTGCAAATTCTGATGAATTCAGCAATCTGAATGCAGTGATAGCACAAATATAGCTATCAGTTGTTCAGGTATCTGTGTGGCCTTTCTACAGCTGGTTTGATTATTACTGATGCTGCGTTTTAGAGAGTGTGTTCTTCTGTAGATATGTTTTAGGAAATATACTTCTGTGCCAACAGTTTGTGTGTCCTGATGTCCTCAGTTTGTGACACGCTCCTTGGGAGCTCTAAAAGTGGAGGCATTAAGAAGTATTATAACGTTTAAGGGAAGAGTCGGGGATGAAATTGATGCTTGTGTAAGATAAGCAAATGATATCTTAATGGTGGTGTTAGTGATGCAGCTTTCATTCTGTGTTTTTTCTTCCTGCAGTTACAAGCATACTCATCCAGACAACCCTGATTGCTCAGGAGTGCCTATGGATATAAGCAATAAGGCTAATGGAGAAGTCAAAATTGCTTATACGTACTCAATAACTTTTCAGGTGAGTGCTAAGGTTTTTTTTATGTTAGTTACTTCTTAAGATCAAATCTTTTGTGTTAATAATCAGAATTATAAAGATAGCTAAAATTATTTCAGAGCAGTACGTTTGTGGTTTAAAAACTTAATTTAAACTGAAATGTGACTTGGGACCTAAATGCATGCCTTAGAATTTTGCATACCTCCCCACGCACCCTGAAAAATGCTTATGCAGCTTTTAAGAGAATCACACTTTCTATGTCTGTCTAGACTGTCTGGCAGATTTTTTCTCACTCTAAGTTCCAACTCTGAGAAACTGTGCATTTTGGCAAATTAGTGCTGTAAGCAGTCCTAGAGGAAAAGCTTTATGTTTTTTCCCAAGGTGGTCTTCTCATATACATCTGTAGGAAACTTAAGAAGCTGGTATTCTTCACCCCTCTATTCTCTAAAGGCACAGAAACACTTCATTGGGCAAAGGCAGGGACCAGTGGTGCTTAAATGTGTCTTATTAGGATGAACAAGCATGATGTACCTTTTAAAATGGAATTTCCTTAAAAAATAATAATGATAAAATGTCCAAGTATTAGTCCAAGACCTGTATTGCTTCTCTTATACAAGTGGCATGCCCAGCTGCATGTGTGTTTTACTGTCTTGTGCATAATGTTATGTGACATGGTGGTATTCCTCTGAAATTCAGGTTAGTGGATCAGATCAGCTCAGGAAGACAGGAATTGAGGGAGTATAAGTGGAAGAAAAATGTGATTCTGTCCTAGAATTATTGATAAGGATGAGAAACTTGTTGCTTGCCTTGAGATATGGTTTTACTGCCTCTGTGAACTAGATACTTGATCTTGGCTTCTGCGTACTGTAATTCATTGCTTTGGGGTTCTTTTAATCTTCACAAACAGCTTTACTACAAAGTGCTGTTGCTTAACTTACTGAAATAACATCCTGTGACAAAAACACGTGGCCGTTTGTATTCATTGATTGTGGCATTGATGGTTTGTTTAATAGTAACCTTCAGGTGATTAGCACTGTTTATTCTTGTTTCCATGTTTACTGTGAAACGTAAAATGAAGACATGTTGTATTAGAAGTGTTTCTGATACATGAATATTTAGTCTGAATAAGTGTCATCAGTTGAAAAACAGCAAGGAAAAAATTTCCTTCTGTTAACAACGTAAGTCTGTAGCGTTGTCTTCCCCACCTGTCTTGCAGCTTTAGCTGACAGTAATTGGATTGGTAGTTGGTGCATGAAGCTGTGTGAAAGCAGGACGTAACTTGGGCAGTTGTGTTCAAAAAGGAGACCTTCAGGCTGAAGGCTGTTCACGTAGCACAGCTTTGTCTCTGAGTATGGAGTGTGTTGACTTGCATACACTAAAAAAATTTGTGCTCTCAATTAGTTCATTAGTTATCTGAATTCATGGGAATTAACAGAAAACTTCATGCTCTGAGAAGGCATGGGTCTTAATATTATTCAGAAAATGTTTTATTCTAGAGTCTATGGTCAACTCTTAAGTCTGTTTTTAAGTTGTTATTCTGTAAATATTACATTTAAGCCATTCCAAATTAAGTTTCAATTCATCCTGAGATTTAAGATAGCTTTGCACGAATATAAACTCTTGAATTTAAGTTGGACTCTGGTTGTGTCTGAAACCGATGTTTCTTCTTTCAGGAAGAAAAAAATATAAGATGGGCATCAAGATGGGATTATATTTTGGAATCCATGCCTCACACTCATATTCAGTGGTTTAGGTGAGAAGAAAGTTTGTCTTCAAGCATACAGTACCCAAATATTTTAACATTGAGATGTGGACGATGACTCGCTGCTGTTTTTCAATCATTGCAGCATTATGAACTCCTTGGTGATCGTCCTTTTTCTGTCGGGAATGGTTGCTATGATTATGTTGAGGACGCTGCATAAAGACATTGCAAGATACAATCAGATGGATTCCACTGTAAGTCTGAAATGTACCTCCTCAAGTGTATTTATAATGTAATTTCTTTCTACGAGGAGTTATTTTGTTACAGGCTACGCAAGTGTGATTTACTGTATGAAAATAGCTGGATTTCCTTTACAGGAAGATGCGCAGGAGGAATTTGGCTGGAAGCTGGTTCATGGTGATATCTTCAGGCCCCCGAGAAAAGGAATGCTGTTGTCTGTTTTCCTAGGCTCTGGCACGCAGATCTTAATCATGACTTTTGTTACCCTGTGTAAGTAATAAAGTGGGAAGGAGTTGGTTCTGTAGAAACCATCTTTTCAGTGCTAATTGCGTGTAAAAAGAGCAGTACGGTTTTGTCTACAAATGTCTTAAAGTCTTAAGATTAGAAACAGCTGAGCTGATACAGTAGACATACAAGTTTTTATCTTAAAGTTTAGGTACAGTAAGTGGTGTACTGGCTTTAAGTCCAGTGTGTAATTAAGTTCTTAAATTGTGCATCTCCTTCATAGTTTTCGCTTGCCTGGGATTTTTGTCACCTGCTAACCGGGGAGCCCTAATGACCTGTGCTGTAGTTTTGTGGGTACTGCTTGGGACTCCAGCAGGTTATGTTGCTGCCAGATTCTACAAATGTAAGTAAAAGTTATTTAAAATGACAGGGCTTAAGTTCATTAAAGTAAATTATCGTCATAGAACTGACTTTTATTTTATGGAATGGTTTGTAGTTTCCCTCAGGGCAAGATGGAGAAATGTATTTATCTTAACAGAAAATAAGTATGGAATACTGACACGGTTAAACTGATTTTGATGTGATCGTGCTTAGAGACCCTGAATTGCTTTTGCTGCCATGTGCTTATGGAGTTACGGGGGAAATTATTTTTTACTAATGCTAATTCCTTCTGATGATTTTGTACTTATGTTTTCCTATGGCTGGAGGAATGCAGACCCTTAACTTGATTTTAGCTTTAGCTGTTGACATTGTTTGATAACTTTTTTTTTTCCCAATAATGAACTTCTGTTCTTGCCTGAGATTTTTGTCACTGCTTCTTAGCTAGTTCAATTTTTGGGAGAATAGTGCTTTTCAGACTGGATGTGGGGTGAATTAGCAGTATTCTGTGGCTGCAGCATCCCAGTGATATTTGGACGCCAGGCAGTAGTTGGTTTACTGTTTCCTCCCCTTACCCTAACTAGATATCCTTTCAGGGCCTGTCCACTGACCAGAGCTAGTCTGCACCTGTACCTTCTGGTTTATTTTATGTCCAAGTGTGCCATCCACTATTCTAATACCTTATGTCAATTACCTTACATGAGGTACAAGATTGTTTATGACTGAGTAAGCTCGTTTGTTTTTTTGGACTGTTTGGACTATTATAATTCTGAAGACACAGTGCTAGAGAATTCATTTCTGATCTTGAACCTGAAAGTTAGTGTTGGAGTTCTTCGCTTTCTTCTGACTATTTTATAATTTTCCTGGGGGCACCAACTGGATGAAGAGCCTTCGTTTTGAAGGGAGCTTTCCCACAGTGGCAGTGATGGCATTTTTGAACTTCTCTTCAAACCAATTTTGTTTAAATAGAAGGAGACTTAAATGCTACTACATTCAACAGTGCTTTGGGGCTTCTTTATATCATGCTGGATGTTTTGTATTTTTAAAGATAATTTGAAGTTTTTGATGGCAAACCGAATTCCGTAGTTTTAGTGGAGGTGGTAAGAATTATATTTCCTATTATATTTGTCATGAGTTCAGTTGATATTTGACAATTTAACTAAATATTTAAGACAGTCAATGATGACTCCAGAGATATTCTTGTTGCAACGAATGGTAGAGCGTGTCAACATGAATGTTTTTCCTTGCAGTGTGCCAGCAAAGCACTGAGAGACTTAAACAGCAAAATACAACTGAAACAGTTATCCAATTCTAAAAGGTTTTTTTAATGCTGCATTTAAAAAGTGAAGCATGAGTTGAAAAGAACTGATTAATATTAATTACCTATGCTGTGTTCTATCAAGAATTTTTTGAAGGAACAGAAAAGTAATTAAAATCATTCCAACCATAATCACTGCTGAGTCTTAAAACTAAAAAACACATAAATAAATGTGTCATGAGGGCACTGCTCAGCTGGAATTCCAGTGGGATATTTTCATTTGGAAGTTCTCTGACTAGAATTTTTATCAGTGTAGTACAAACTCTTAAGGATTTTTTTTTATTTTTTTTTTAAATAAAGCTATCCTAGGTCTTTTGGTATCACCAGTGCTTAATGCCATTAAGATTTACAGGAAGGAGTGATGTTCTTTTGAGCATTAGTCCTAACTTGTAAAACTCTTAGACAAGAGTTATTTCAAGAAAGCAGCTTAGCTCTCATTTTTCGTATTTATATAAATATTACATTCTAATATTTATATATTTATATATGCTAATATATATAATATATAATATTATTTTCTAATGAAACTGTTCAAAGGCTAGAGAACTTGAGGTTGTTGATCATAACAGGTTTAAACTGTTTTTTAAAGACTTAAAAGTACTTCAAATCTTCTTCCTTAGATAAAGTGGTCAGAGGCCAGGTTTATTTACTTGAATGTTTTTCTTGTGCATCTGAGAGTTTTCTTTGCTCTGAATCTTTGTGATCAAGCAATACGATGAAGGAATTTGTTATTACTAAAGATTTATTTTACTGTTCGAAATTTGAGCATGATAGGACATTATTTGAGTATTTGCAAGCTAAGTGTAACAGCTAAATGGACTGGAAAATTAATAGTTGTGAGCTTAATGCACGTTTTGATGACTGTCAAATGTTTTAATATAGCATTTGGAGGTGAGAAATGGAAAACAAATGTCCTGCTGACATCATTCCTTTGTCCTGGGTGAGTTGAGAATATAGCCATGATTAAAAGAATTAAATTGCTTCTCTGACATGCATAGCTAATATTCTGGCTTCAGCTGTATAAGTAAATCTTATTACGGTGTCCCTTTGTTCCAGAAGCTGTAAAAGCATGGAGGTGCATTTGACAAAGATAGCTGTGTCAGTGGCATGTCATACTTGGTTCTTTTTTATCCAAGTTCCGTGTTTACTTTTGCCACATGAAAAAACTGATTTAAGAAAGAGCAAAATCGTGCTGTTAAGTTTCAGATGTAGTTCTTCCTTGCTTTCTTTTCCTCTCTGTGCTGTCTTTCTGACCGCGCTATAGTTGGTCCTACATGGTGTCATACACTGTATAACCGCTGCGTTAAATTCTTCTACTTTAATCACAGCAAGCAGTCTTACCCTGGAGTGTAGTTAAGACAAGCATATATTTGAAATTGCTTAGTTGGGATGTCAGCTCCTGCTGAAGTTCAATCCCACTGGATTACGAAAGAATCGCTAAGCTTGACCTCTTCATTTGGATATTTTTTGTGTCACTTGATTGTAGGAGATTTGCACTAAAATCCTTATACGGTTCTATTGTTTTGTGAAGACCTTTAAATATTAAGAAGTATTTCTGTGCCCTGAGTGTGTGATGTATTTTTCAGAATCGTGTTTGCGGATTTTTTTATCATGAATCTCATTCTCTGGGGAGAAGGCTCTTCTGCAGCTATTCCGTTTGGTACTTTGGTTGCTATTTTGGCACTCTGGTTTTGCATATCTGTTCCACTGACGTTTATTGGTGCCTATTTTGGCTTTAAGAAAAATGTAAGTATTTCTTGATATACAGTGTTGTGTTTGTTTTTGGTTTTTTTTATATATATATATACGGCTATGACTGAGGTAGCACCTAATCTAGTTCACCTTGTCAACTCCAGTCCTGTTCTCTTTCTTTAAAACTGCATTGTGTACCTGATCTTGAAATTCCAAGACGTGGATATTAAGTTGTTGAGTTGCAGTGATATTTCTGAGCACTGATCAGGCTTATCACTGTATTGGATTGAACGATTGTTCAAGGTAATGCAGAGATCCGGGCATTCTTTATGTTCATTACTATTTCTCTCATTACAGAAAATTCTGTTGGCCCAACCAAGTATAAAGGAAAGCAGTTTATGCGTTTGTGGGTATTTTGTTTGGTTTTCCCCTGTGCATTTTGGTGCTGTTCTCTGTCTACAGAGTCTGAGACGAGAAGGGTGTCATCTTCCGATGAAGTTGCGAGTTCTTGTGAAATCCCTTCACTGAAGTCTTCTGTAAATGATTATTGCTGCTTGGCAGACACTAACTGAATTAACTGAGATTTCCTCCTAAACTGTTTTCTTACTTACATGAGGGTTCTTTGTGACATGAGTGACCAAACCCTAAGCAGTGAAATCAGTGGTTTTCTTTTGCTTGAAAAGTGGCTTACTGTGCCCCACAAGCTTAAAGACCTGTAAGTTTGGCTAATGTTTTTTCCCATGTATAGGCAACCTTCATTTCAGCTCTCTGCAGAGCTGATGGAATGCCTTCAGAAAAATGTTTAATTATACTGGAAAGCTTTATAGGTCAATTGTAGTTACCTTATTTTACTTAACTGAAAGTCAGTGGATTTTTTTTTCCTGCTAACCAGATGGAAGTTCAAACAAAAAAACCTTGTAAGTAAAAAAAAAAACCTGTACAGAGACAGTTCCTTGAGAGAACAAAAAAAAAAAGGGAGGGTTCTGACAAGGTAGTGTGAATGGTGTCACAAATATGTTAAAGCAGGAAAGCAAGTACTGAGCTGAAATTGTCGATTTCCTTGAGGTGATCTGTAAGAAAGGGGAAAGATGGCAAAGTATGCATTCATCTGCCTTAATTTTTTTCTTTCCACCATGCTGATTTGTGCATGTAGCTTAATTAGACTTGAATTCAAGATTGAAGTAAATCAAAATTGCCAAATTGAATCCTCTCACTCTGTAAGTGTACCCTAATGTGATTCTTGAAGTAAATCCTGAAAAACAAGATGCAGAGATTTCTAGAAGGAGAAACCAAGAGTGCAGCACCACCACTTCCAAGCCAAACACTGAGAAATATGTTCCAGCTACACAACAGATCATAGACAGTCATGAAAGAGGAGGCTCAAAATATGTGTTGCAGTATTTTAAGTAAGAGCTCTCTTTCAGCTGTTTTGCCTTGCAGATTTTGTTAGCTGAACTGGTAGAAAGCGCACATGTAATGGTAGATGAGCCTGTGCATATTCAGAATGTGTGAATAGACTTCTGCCAGCTCTCCTGTCAAAGAGAAAGCAAAATAAGTAGTGGTGTAGTTTGACTTGTTACTTACCTAGCAATGTCTTTGTTTTGTTTGAAGGCTATTGAACACCCTGTTCGCACAAATCAAATTCCTCGTCAGATTCCTGAGCAGTCGTTCTATACAAAGCCATTACCTGGAATTATCATGGGAGGGATTCTGCCTTTTGGGTGCATCTTTATCCAGTTGTTCTTCATTCTGAACAGTATTTGGTATGTTAACTGCAACCTAAATTTTACCTTCTGTGTCATAATAGGTTGTAGTTTTTAATGTGAAAGTTTATTCAAGTTGCATTGACTGATTGAGGATTACAGAATTACCAGAATACTGGCTCATTAAAGATGTAAACGTTAACATCTTTTTAACATTTTGTGGGTTAGAAGATACTCAGTGCTTGTGTCGCTTGCTGAGGTGTATGGAGAAGGTACTGTGATAAGCATAGCAATTTACAGCTGGCTCATGATATTCAGACAGATATTCAGACTACTCGGCCTTCTTGTGGAAGCTGCTCTAAAGTTGACATACATGCACGTAACTTGAAATTAGTAAGCATGTCGTAAGGAAGCATGTGATCTGAGGGTGTTTGTTTTGGTTCAGGCTTTTTATTGTTGGGGTAGAAAGCAAGACTACAAATTGTTCCCCAAAATTGTTCTCCTTTCAAAGGCATCACGGAGTAATTCTGTTCAATATCAAAAGTAATGCAGCTACTCCAGTTCAAGTGAATTTTGATGTGAGTTCATAGCACGCTGACAGACTAATCTACTGTAAGGATTTTGTCTTCCTCCTGGCACAGTTTAGTTACTGGGGATCTTTAAACTGTTTCTGAACCTTGAATAGGTGCTTCTGCCCAGCATACACAGCTGAAGCATTTGACATTTCTTATTATTTTGCAGCTCTGCCCCTTTGATTGAAATGTGAGGTGAAATCCAAGTTCTGCTGAATTCAGTGGAAGAGGTCATGTTGACTTTACTGGAACTGTAATTTCACTCATTATGTGTAGTCAGTTTCTTCCCTAAAATCCCAAACAGCAGCAGCATTGGGGCTCACTTTCTCGCTGTTTTCAGACTGAGCTGTCGAAGCTCTTATTCTTGATGTAGAAAGCAAATTGGTTAATTGTATGGGCACGGAATTAATAGTGCCTCAGTGAGAAAGGAACTACCTTAAGGTGAAGGTGATATTACTGTGTACGAAGGAATAGTACCAGTACAATATCCATTTTAGTTTTTCTGGTTATTTTTTGAAAACTCTCTTCATTAGGTCTCACCAGATGTATTACATGTTTGGCTTCCTGTTTCTGGTTTTCATTATTTTGGTTATCACGTGTTCTGAGGCCACCATATTGCTCTGTTACTTCCATCTATGTGCAGAGGTAAGAAATACTCATCAGTATTCATACTTAGTACTGCTTTAAGGATGCTTCAAGAAATGTTAAAGACTTCTATAATTGGAAATAAGCATTAACAGAATTTGACATAAACATTTAAATACGGTATTAAATATCCTTAAATCGAGACTTTAAGAAGTGAAGCTGCTTCTGGCACAGCTTGTAAAGAAATAAATAATAAATCAAACCCTGCACTGAGTGCCACTGAGTCAGATACATCACCTTCAGAGTCTCACCTCCTGGTTTCTGAAGATTTATCCACTGACTTTGCTTAATGAGAGTGCATTCCTTCATCTGCCCAACCTGGGCGGATAATTAAGGGAAGTAATTAAGAACCTCCATGGTTTACAATAGTAGATTGGGCTTATTTGTGTTGTTTGGGTTTTTTTGCCTACTTGATAGAGATCCTTCTAATCTCTAGTTCTGAATAATGTAGTTAAAGCACTGTTGATTTTTATAGTTTTTGCTGTAGATCAAAACTATGAAAGCTTACTTTGAGATAAAGTGATGGTAGAAGAAAGATGGCCAGTAGCTTTGCTTTCAGTATCAGAATCAGATCATTAGAGGTATGTGCAATTGTACTCATACGTCTTTCTTTTTGCCCCCCACTTCTAGGACTATCACTGGCAGTGGCGTTCATTTCTCACTAGTGGTTTTACTGCAGTTTATTTCCTAATATATGCAATACATTATTTTTTTTCTAAACTGCAAATCACAGGAACAGCTAGCACCATTTTATATTTTGGTTATACCATGATTATGGTTTTGATCTTCTTCCTTTTCACAGGTAAGTACCTGAACTTTGATTTCAAATGTTGAGTTTACCTTCAGCTCTCCTTAGGAGAAGCCTTGGCAAGCTTTATCTTGATACAAGATTACAAATTTAATATGCAACTGTGATTTTTTTTCCCTTGATTTGATTCCTTCTGGAACTTTGTAACTCTTTTCCTGTTGCACTGAAGAAATGGCAGAGGAAGGGCAGAGAGACATTTTTTTTTTATGCAGTGTTATTAGAGTTTTGTCATCTTTATTATGAGTTTCTGGGCAAGCGTGTGTCTTAAGTGCTGCACTGCTCTTTGCTCATTAGTGAGATGGGGTGACAATCTTCCCTCTTCATCATCTTCAATACTAGAAAGGAATTTCCAGTCAGATATGCTTGTCCCTTATTTAGGATGGAGGACACAGGAACTCTGCTTTCAAATGTTCATGAAAAAAGTTACCATGTGGCAATTCCTCGAAATACTTAAAATATTTAATTCTGTTCCAGCATTCCCTACAGAGTAGTATATTTTTTTAAGCTATTTTGAACTGATCAATGCTTAAAATGATTAAAATGGTTCCATGCTTATGAAGAAAACCTAATGATTTCTAAAGCTTTGATGCAGCTTTATGCACACAACTTTGCAGGCTATATTTTGCAGCCTCCTAGAGCACAAATGGTTTGCCATCAGAGCTTTTAATAGAGATACCATTATAAGTAGAATTTTCAGTTCCACTGAACACAGAGAAGAAAAAATGTTTAACTGGAGAAGATGGGTGGCATTTGTGAATGTTTATTCTTAAAGTGAACATCACACACTCGTTTCAAAGAGCTTGCTGCTTCAAAGCAGTTTGTAGTCCACAACTGAATGTAGATAAGGAACAGGAACAAAAGCCTCCAAGGAGTTTCTTGGGTCACCGATGGTTGGAAAGAGAGAACGTGATATTACAAAAAAAACCTTTTAAAAAGCTCTGTCCCAAGAGTGTTGGGCTTGCATCCGTGTCTTTTAAATAGCCAATTTAACTTCTTTTGGCCTTGCTAGAATGTTTTGGAGGTTGCATATCGTCTTTTATCTGTATTTTGTGTGCTGATTAGCAAGCTGTTCTGAAGACACAGATCAGATTCTGTTTTCCTTCCTCGCTCTCTCTTACTTGTTGCTCTGACTTTCTCTTAACCTTTTATTTCTGATCTGGGTTTACTAATAGTCTCATTGAGGTACAGAGCTTAAGAATACATGATTGTTTGACTAGGAACAAGTGCACAATGCTGATGCTCCTGGCCTGCATCAGAAATTGTGTAGCCAGCAGGACTTAGGGAAGCGATTGTCCTCTTGTGTGCAGCACTGCTGAGATCACACACTGAGTTGCTTGAGGGTATGCAGAGAAGAGTAGTAAAACTGATGAAGGGACTGGAGAACAAGAGTTGTGAGGGGTGGCTGAGAGAATTTGGGTCTGGAGAACAGGAGGCCGAGGGAAGACCTCATCCTTCTCTGCAGGTACTTGAAAGGACTGCACAGAGGAGAGTGTTGGTCTCTTTTCTCAGGCAACGAGTGATAGGGCATGAGGAAATGACTTCTAGTTGTGCCAGGGGAGAATTAGGTTGGATGTTCGGAAGAGTTCCTTCATGGAAAGAGCGACAGACATTGGAAGTGGCTGCCCAGGGAAGTGGTGGAGCCCTGGGGGCACTGAAGAGATGTGGCAATGGGGTCGAAGCTTAGTGATGGGTCTTGGTTTGTCAAGTTGATAGTTAGACTTACTGATTCTTTTCCAACCTAATGATTCTGTGATTTCACTTATATCAATGTTTAAACATTGTGATGTATGCTTAAAGTCTCATAGACTTACACAAGGCCTCACTTTTTCATGATCTTTAATTTAGTTCCATTACCTTTTCTAATAGATATTCGGTATGTTTGCCTTTAATTGTGAACAGTTCTGGCCAAAGCCAGAATTGCATTTACATAGAAAACAAAGGGGGCCATATTTTCTGTGCTGAGACTTCTGTTTTAGCTGCTTTTCTGTACCTTCCACATATGATTCCCATCTTTCACTCACCCTTGTTCTCTCAAGCCAGTCATGTCACATGATGCCTTTAAAGGTGTGCAGTGCAACTCTTTTCCTTTGCTCACACATTCGCTTTCAGTTGACGGCCACCAACTGGCTGTGTAGTGCCTGCCAGTGAATTTGGGAAATGCTTTTCAGGATGTGTTCGCAGGGACACAAAGAATAAGTGATTTAGTCTTAGACCTCTTTAGATGCTTTCTGTAGTAGTTATCTGTCTGTAACTGGGACAGTGGAGATGCAAGTCATGCTCTGTAATTCCGTTTGTGTGTAGAAGTTAGGGGAGAATATAAGCAAAATAAACCGTAGGATTAGAACTTTGAAGCATCATGTGCTTAATGGTTTTTTTTACTTCCCACAAGAGTAAGGGTAAATTACCCCATAATTTAAGGGAGCAGTCGTATTTCTGAGCATATAATATAATTCTGTCTGTTTAGCTTGGCACGCTAATTTGTGTTCCAAGGCAACATTTCCAGTTCTCTGAGATGCATTGAAGCACTCTGAGATAAGGGTTTATAGAAACGTGTTAAAGGGGTACTGAGTTCTCCAGATTTTTAAATGTAAAACCATACTGGCAATTTAGCAAAAACTGCTCCTAAAGGCAACTGACTTCTTGTGTCAGGATGATAAAGAAGCTAAAAAGAGAAAATCATAATTGTTGTATCAAAACTATTCTGCTGTTGCTTACTCATCTGTTAAAAATTGTCAGGATCAGGAAGGGTTCTGATGGTGCCCTGCTGCTATGTCAGTGTAGCACATGCTTCAGGCACTTGCTTCCATACTGCATTCCAGGTCATTGATCAGACTCAGCAGGCAAAATACCGGGACCTACATGACAAATCTTTGATTCGCAGCTGGGACTGCAACTACGTATCACAGTCAATGAGTCAGTTAAACATCAGTAGTTTAGCAAGCGTGAAGAAAAAAAAATTACTGGGATGTCATTCATGGTTCTTTACGAGCTCGTGTACTGAATGAGTTAGTATGCAGCTTCTGTTGTGCCTCTTAGCAGATCTTAAACAAAGGTGATGTTTCAAAAGATGGCTTTATAAGAGGCATGCAGGCAAAAATCTGATAATTGTCACGGTTTTTTTCCTGCCCTACTTTTTGTGGGAGGTGAAGGTTCCTGTAACAGCTGTTCTGAGCTGCTTTTAAGCGCAGTATCGTTCTGACTGAAGCTGTGCTTTAAAGCAAAGCAGTTTTAACAGAAATATTCTTTTGCATGCAAAGTAGTCGATATGTTTAGGCTTTGCCAATCTGTCTGTTGGAACTTCATAAAGAGATTCTCCTTTCTTAAGGGAAACAGTCCCTGTCCTTAAATTTCAGCTCAGGTTTGTTCATGCCTTTTGACTGCCTAATGTATTTCAGAAGCATTTATTTCTATGGTACATAGCACGTTTTTGGTAGGAAACAAGAAAAACGAGTGGTAGGAAGAGAAATGATGTGACTTAAAATGAGTTCTGCATGACATCTTTCTGATTGTGGAAATTGGGTACGTACAGATCAGTTGATGCCTGTAAAGGCCGGGTTCCATCTCTAACTTGATCTGATCTGATGGGTCACTGAAGAGTACGCATAGCACATTGCATACGTAGATTGAAATTAACGTCTGCTGTGTAACTTTTCCTAATATGTAACCTTCCTTTTATTTTTTAGGGACAATTGGATTCTTTGCATGCTTTTGGTTTGTAACCAAAATCTACAGTGTGGTGAAAGTTGACTGAAAGAACCAATGTCAAGAATTAACACAGAAGAGGTTAAACCTTCACGAGCATAACTTACAGACCTGATCTCCGTGATGAACTTGAGCTTTATCAGAAGTGTTGGCTTTCTGTTCTTTGAGAATGATACTGAATATGCAGCTGCCCCAAACACTTTCTTCCACTAACACGTTTATATTGTGACTTAACAGCCTGTTTTCATGCAGATCTCAGTGAAGATCAGAGTTACAATATTTATGCATTTGTAAATACAACGATACCTTAAAATAAACGTTGAATTCTAATGGCAGAGTAGAACCGGCTGTGTTAGGCAACTTAATGATACTTCTGATTAAAGTACAATTGTAAATAGGATTTTCTAGCTTGGTAGGTGGGATGAATTATTTTTCTTTGAGGGAAATGAGAACTTTTTATTATGCTAACTTTGAAGGATGACTCTTAAGAAGTGTCGCTTTTAGTTTGGATGTGATTTTTATTTTTTACTGGTATTATGTCCACAAATATTCTGATTTCTGTGACTTCATTAGTTTCAGTGTTTTTGGCCTTTTAAACTATGTGCCTCTGAGTCCTTGAATTTATAAATTCATAATCTAATAAATATTGTAAAAATGTCTTCAGTGGGTCATTACCTGTTAAAAATTCACACAAATCCGTAAATACAATTATATGGAAGATCGCACAGAGCATTTGATGGCATTATCTGCAGTGTTCTGTCTCTTGACACTCCTTTAGATCTGCAGTGCGCGTTGTGTCACACGGCTCAAACACTGCCGTGTGGTTGTGGTGCGTGAGGATGAAATGATGCACACACTTAGCAAAGACACTGCAGCATTCAGCCAGTCCTTAGCCCAGGCTCTTGTTCAGGAATTGCTGTGGAATGGTCAGTATGTTGAGAAGGTCTTAATGCGTGAGTCAGCATCCTCTGCTGCTCTTGCTTTAGAAAGATCTTGATGAAGCATATGGCAGCTGCTGCCGACTGTACTTAGTGTACGTTAAAAGAAAAAGCCAGTTCCTATTTTTGCCTTATATTAAGAGACTACTGTCAATTTCAGGTGACTAGCATTTAATTGATATTTGCTTCTTTGAAAATGGAGTATTATATTCATATGTTGTTCAGTAATTTAGATTCAAAACACAATCTGGCTCTCGGTAAATTTTTTTTCACAAACCTGATAAAATCTTACTTCAAATTAATCTTCCTGTACCATTTGTCATTTGTAAGTTTGGGTGTTTTTGGTTTTGGTTTTGTTTTTTTTTTTTTGATTATTGATTTGCTTTTCTAAAAAGACCTTAACCTAATGATGCTTGAATACTGAACCCAATAAAAATATCTTTGGTTAAGGTATTTTGTCATTATTAACCTCCTGGAAGCTGGCACGTAAGAATATTTCAGATAACATCTGAACTATAGTGCTGCACATCCCTGCTAGATGAACCACACCTCTCATGTTCTGCATATCTCCAACCACAGCTGTGTTCAGATGCTGTGGACAGAATTGTTGTAATTGTTTTCATGCCCCTCCCTGCAAGCAGTCACTAGGAAATGCTGATTTCAGATAACTCTTCCATGTTTTATGTTCAAAACAGGAAAGGGTGAGTGGGTGTTCTTTACAAATGCCATGAGCTGCAGTGTGACTTGATTTAAATTTCTAGGAAGGGTATCAGTGAATATTCTTACTATCCTTGCTTCTGAGGTTGCATTCTATGTATATCCGTGGTTCAAATCGTCAATAGTTACACAGCTGTGAGTTTTTAGTTTGAGAAATGTGGATCGTGTTACTGCAATACAAGTGCAGTAAGTGCTCAGTAATGTCAGTGTAGTGATATGAAAACAGATCTTAAAGAGAGATTCGCAATTGCTGCATGAGAGTAAGATTAGCAGGGATGGGATGTAGCTATTATGATCTGTATGCAGGTTTGCAAGCAGTGCTTTGCTATTTTTTTCCGTCAAGTAGACAAATAGTGGTGGATTCTTACCTTTGTGGTGTTTCATTATTTTCTGGAATCTAAACCTGCAAGCAAATTTTTCCAAGCAGATTGGCCTTATAATAATGGTATCTGATGCATAATTGGGAATGGTTGAGTTTCAGTGCACAGAGATCTGGGAAGTTTATTACATCATAGCTTTAATAGCAGAGCTATTCTGAAGTCGTCTCAACCCTTGGAACTCATCTGTACCTCACATTTTGTTAGTTTTCTAGTGTAGAGTGTTCCTGTGTACAGCAGGGCATTAAAACGCTCTGCAGTGCAGCATATCTGTGATTCAGATCTCTTAGGAGACCTGGGGATTTGGTCTCTGCTTTCAGCAATGCCTCTTCTTGTCAGAGCACATCGCAACTTACGTATTTTTCTGCAGGACAAAAGATTCCTTGTGCAGAAATGATCTAATCTTCACCCAACTGCGCTGCTTCCTACAAGTTACCTCCAGTGTAACCTTTGTTCTCTGTCCTGCTCTTTCTCCTCATTCCCAGTATCTAACAGATCTCCATAAAGCTGACTGCTGAAATCATTACCTCATGTATCAACTTCGGGTACACACGTGTACGTAAGTGCGTGACGCTTTAGATTTCAGATACTTAAAGCATAGATCTGCAGGGACTACAGGAAAGCTTAATTTATCGTTTGGTTACTGTATAACTGCCATCATGGGTTTCCTCTGCTTTTATTTGTAACATCTGGAAATCCCTGTTGGTAAGATGGGAGTAGTGTTAATCTGCTTGTTAATTAGATATGCCAAGGGATGACAAATGAAACTTGCCATGTTTGAATGGCAGCACGTTCCTGCAGCTTCCTGGACTTGCGACGCTTCCGAAAGTGCAATCTAAATTCTTCCTTCCCTCAGAGGGATTTTAGCATCACCTACTGGCCACAGCACATATAACCTTAAAGTATGGGAGCAGAGTTAAGGGTAAGATGGGACTTTTACCAAACCACACTCTTGGAGGAGTGAAGACATGAAATATATTGACATATAGTTAATTATGTATGCTATTTTCAAGTTCATCAACGATCAAGAATAAAGAACAGTTAACACTAGTCATTCATGTAAGTTCTCTGTGAAGATGTGTAAGTGCAGTCGTGTGCCTGGAAAAGGTCCTTTAGAGTGAACTGTATTTCAGATATACAGTCTTCCTTTATAAGGATCAGTTCTTCTCACCCAAATACCTTTGATGTCTTCAGATGTTTAAGTTCACTAAAAATACAGCACTTCAGACAGGGCCGTCAAGTCAAGATAGTTGATTGATTTTCTTCTCTGTTTTTGGAAAAAATATTTGTTGAGAAAACGCCCTCTATTTTTCCTATCTTTTCATGCCTAGCTTCTAATTTGTTCAGAATTCATCCCTGAAATGAAGTGCTTACAATCACAGAACAGCCTGACTTGAGGAAGAAATGCACTGATAACCTCCCAACATGGTGGGCAGTCCAGCCTCTGCTTACCCCCACTGTTGTTGCAGCAGCAACACGAGGAGCAAGCTCGTCTCTCCTGGAGCACCATAAGGCAGAACCATAGAATCACCACGGTTGGAAAAGACCTCCAAAGTCATCCAGTCCCACCTACCACCAATATAACCCCACAAGACCATGTCCTTCAGTACACCTTATAAACATTTCTCGAGCTCTTCCAGGGACGGCAGCCTGCACCAGTGCCTCACCACTCCTTTGGAGAAGAAACTTTTCCTATTATCCAATCTGAGATGTGACCGAGGAAGCCGGTGGGTTGGCGTGGAAGCCCATTCTTTCCGTGTCCCAAGGCCACACGAGACCATGCAGTTGTGACATTTCTTCCCTAGCCTTGCTTAGGAGCTACAAAATAGAGCAGATGTCAGTCCTGTTTTCTACTTTTCTACAGGGCTCTGCTCAGATCCCCTGTTTATCCCAGGAAGCAGAGTGATGGCAGTAGCTCTGCACAGAAACTGTAGAGAGAAATAAAGGGGTTTCCCTTTATTCCCTTATTATTGTCAGAGAGGACAATATCCAGACCCAGGGGGCAAAGTCCAAACAAAGAATTGATTCCTGTACCAGGAAAATACTGGTTTGTCAAAACAAAGTTTGTTCTGTTACACAATGACCAGTTTCAAGCAGAGATAGTGGTTTGGGCTTGGTTGGTTTGTTTGTCGTGGAAGACATTTCTTACAGCCAGATCAGAATTTCAGAAGAAAACAAGACAGGCAGACAAGTTTAGGCAGATTAGAAATGTGTTTCTAAATCCCCCAGCGATTTTCTTGACCACTGGACTATTTTAGGGTGAAACACATCTATCTTTTAGTGTTTGAAACAGGTTTACAGACAGAGGTTTTTGAAGGCAATTTTTGCACTGAATGGGGCAGAAGTTGAATCTCAATGTTTTGTTGAACAAAAAGCTGTTTCCTGGCCAACTTCACACCTGACACTTAGGAGGACTGCTGGTAAAATAACCTGAGCAGAACATCTACCCTGTAATTTAATCCAGGAATGCACTTCTGCGTACTGCAACACCAGTCCCAGCACACAATGTGCAAATATCCAGCAGGATCCTCTACAGAGACACTGACTATTGCTGTGCAGGACCTGGAGGTGGGAATTGTAGCCTTGGAATCCTTGAAAATACTGGCAAAGGGAAATTCAATGAAAAATGCTAGAGTTCTAAGATTGCAGGTAGATGAAAGTGAAGAAAAATACTTTCTTTCATTCCTAATTATCTTTGCACCTCATGGCCCGAGCACAGAGAAGGCAGCAACACTTCTAGGTCCTACCCAGAATGTTGCAGAAATCCAGATAAGTCACAGACAGTCACAGCACTGAGAAATGCTCATGGGACAGCAAATAATTACGCTGTTAGAAAGCTTACGAGTCATGGAAGAGCTCCATTTATAGAACTTAAGTTCTGGCAAAGAGAGAGCAGTGAGGTGGTGGAACAGGCTGCCCTGAGAGATTGTGGATGCCCTGTTCCTGGAGGTGTTCAAGGCCAGGTTGGATGGGACCCTGGGCAATTTGATCTATTACTTGATGTAGCACAAACCAGAGGTCCCAGTTTGTGTGGAGATGTGTTCCACCTTTCACCTTTTATGTGTGTGTAGGCTGCCCCTAAGTATCCGAACACCACGATGGTTCATCGTGCCAACTGTCATCTGTGGGCTATGCAGGAGGCAGCCATAGAGTCCGTAACTCACAGCAGCGCTCCAGAGAAACCACAGCATTAAAATTAAAGAGGAGATGAAAGCTGTGCGACAAAAGGATTATCCAGGGTCCTGTCCGTGCTGAAAGTACCACATGGCCTCCCTCACAAAATATTGGTGCGCAGCAGTGGATGCCCCCGTGGTGAATCTCTGGCCAGGAGCCTCTTCTTAGAGATGCTGCTGCTGGATGTTTCTCCTGAGTCTGCATCAGTATCTCCCAAGATCACACATTTGAAGAATAAGTGCTGTCCTCATCAATGGGAATGGTTTGCTATGTGGTGGGTATCTGCTGGTCAAAATTATGTGTAATTTTTACTTTCAGTTTAACTTAGGTTTAATTGTCTCGATTTAAGCCTCTTGCACTAACACTAAGCTGCTTTTGTTTTTACTTTGGATCCAATAATTTTAATGTTTCCTCCATATGGCAGTGGGTTTTCAAAGGAAAAAAACAAGGTCTGAGACAGAGTTACTTGAATGGATTGAAATTAGGAAAGTGAAACTAAAAATAGAAATAGGACATAATGAGCTAATGTGAGATACAGAAGGAGCTTCAGAGTGATAAAAAAATGTCATAATTTAGACGAGAAAGTTTGTGTCTTTTGTTCAGTCCTTCTGTATTTACAGTGGATTCTCTTATGACTTCAGCAGTAGCTGAACTAAGGCACAACGTCTTTCACTACAAAGAAGGCTGCAGGGTGACCTCATTGCAGCTTTTCAGTGCCTAAAGGGAGCTTACAGAGGGGAGGGGAATCAACTCTTTGAAAGGGTTGGTATGTGTAGGACGAGGGGAAATGGTTTTAAGTTGAGGGAGGGGAGATTTAGGTCAGACATCAGGGGAGAAGTTCTTTACAGAGAGAGTGGTGAGGTGCTGGAACAGGCTGCCCAGAGAGGTTGTGGATGCCCCATCCCTGGAGGTGTTCAAGGCCAGGTTGGATGGGGCCCTGGGCAGCCTGGTTTAATATTAAATGGGGAGGTTGTTGGCCCTGCATGTGGCAGGGGGTTGGAGATTCATGATCCTTGAGGTCCCTTCCAACCCTGGCCATTCTGTGATTCTGTGAAAGAAGACCCGAGTTGCAGGAGAATAGTTAGCATGGTTTTCTATCGGCTAACTTTCCTCTGCTCACATATATGATGCAGTCACTCTCCGCAGTTGGCCTCTAAGGTAGGAAGTTTTTCAGCGGTTGGATGA